ATTCCAGAGAGAGTTTGGTCTGGAAAAGATATTTTTTATTCTCATCTGAAGGTGTTTGGTTGCAAGACGTTTGCACATATTCCGAAGGAGAAGAGACAGAAACTTGATGATAGAATGGTTCCTTGCATCTTTCTTGGTTATGGAGAAGATGAGTTCGGCTACAAACTATGGGAGCCAGAAAAGAGACAAATTATCGGACGAGCAGGTGTGATTTTTCAAGAGGATCAGACTATTGCAGATCTCGGGAGAGCAGAGTAGTCAGAGAGTGCTGCTAGTGAGATTCCAGATATGACACCTGTTTCACCTCCGGTGAAGTTGCATCCTACAGATATAAAGCAGGTGCATGATGATGATATTAATGATGACGGTCAGATACCAGAGCAGGAGGATGGTGATCAAGTTTAAGAGCAGGAGGCTCCTCACCAGGTTGAGCATCACCAACAACAGGAGTTTAAGAGCAGGAGACAAATTAATGCTGTAAGCCTAACTTCCTGTGATCGAGAAGAAGAGAGAGAGAAAAGTTCAGATTCTGGATCGCTCGGTTGTCCGATTGTAGTGATTCAAAAATCGTTGTCTTCAGAACAACGACGCCGTCGAGTGTACGATACTGATTTCTCCACGGGAGTTGGAAATTTTTGATGAGACGAGTTTTAGGGTTTTGGTGCCCTAGTGGTAACACTGTATCTTTCTCTTGTGATTTAATCCTTAAGTTCAGGTGTAACTTGGAGGGATTGTACTCTTGATTCATAGTGAAATATTTCTCTCTGGATTGCCCCGTGGACGTAGGCACGATTTTCTGAACCACGTTCAATATTGGTGTTTGCTTGCTTATGGTATTTTCATTAGTGTCGTTATTCGTTTAGTGTTTAATTCCGCAGATTAATCTCCATAAACTCCCCAACAAATCTTTCTTGGGCACCTAACAATATATAAAAAACTACACAGCCATAACAACATCCATTCTACGTGCATATAGCGTATAAAGTCAAATGCATATCATGAACATAATCAACGATGACCACGATCAACAAACAAACAGAGCGCATGATTTCAGAGTAAAATGTGCCCTCACCGAATGCACAGTGAACAAAGACGGGCTTCTTCTGGCCCCGGAACCGAGAGCCCCACTCCACCGCAGACTCGATCTGCACCGGGCTCGGCGCCCTCGTATCCCAAGTGGGAACGCAAAGATAGGCCTCCTCGGGAACCGCGTCGCTCCTCGGCAGCTCCGGAACCGCCCCGTCGCCTCCTCGGGCAAGCTCGCACGTGCCAAAAGTCGCATTCACGGCGGGCCCCCCGGCGGCAGCGTGCCCCCCGCCGCGAGGTGACGGCCCACCCGCCAACGTACAGCCCCTCGCGACCTCGCTGAACGCGGCCCTCCCTCCCCTCCTCCTGACCCTCTGGCAACGCGACGTACAACCTGCGGCATGCGAGCGAAAGCCGGCCGAAGGCGATTTTGCACCAGCGGAACCTGCCGCCATGGCTTTCCGACAGCGATTAGGGGCGAAGTCCGACGGGCAGGTGGGCATGCCAGGCGTGACGGCGTCAGCGCGGACGCAGCGGACTCGTAGAGGAAGCGGCATGGGCCGGCGACGAGGCTGACGCCGGCTCAGCCGAGCCATGACGAGGGCACGGCCAGGAAAAACGCGGCGCGCCGTCGAGCCCAACCTCCTCTGGAGCATGCCCATTCTGTTTCGGTTCCCGTTCTTGCCAGCCAATGCAATTCGATCCGATCGGACGCGGGGGCTGGCCTAGGCGCATGCAGCGGTGAGCCTCGGCACGGCTCTCGCTTCTCGCATCGGCGTGGCAGAGCGCAATTCGCCTCGAGGCGGACACGAGGAGGAAAATAAATAAAAAATACCCCATTTTGTGGCCGTTTGAAATTTTAGTGTTTGCTGTTGCATCTTTTTTGCAAATAAACCGTTAGAGAGAAATGAATTATGCACAGAAATTAATGCAAATCAGGAGGGCCCATGAGCTATTCATTTCTCTCTATCTCTCCCCTCTCTTATAGAGCGCCTATGGACACTCTATATAAAAACCGTTTTTTTATACTTCTTTTGTAATCTCAAATAAACTCCTTAGTTTTACTCTGTGGGGCATCGCCTTTTGGTCAACGAAAGGCTATGAATCTCGAAAGCTTCCGAGTCTGGTTTGAAGACTCTCCGGATTTTGCAAAAAGAAATTCTAGCTAATAAGGATAGGAAGGAGGAGGGGTGTTCACTCTAGTTGTATTGGCTGCTGATGTTTTAAAACTATTTGGGCAAAGTAATTTATTTTTGTTTTACCATAAAAAAATTCCGCAGCAGTGATACTTACCTTTGAAAAAAATTTGATTTATTAGCAATTCAAAGTTATGCGCTTTGGATGTCAGTTTGTTACCTGATGAATGTGAAGTATCATGTTCAGAATTATTTTTAACTTGGATACTCTCCGTCACCACAAATTACTGGGGGAAAATAACTATGATCAATGATCATAATCATCCACTGTTAAATAGACGGTTGTGATTCGGCCAATTTTTAGCAATTCCAATATCTCTGTTTTTTATTCAAGATAAATCACAACCGTCGAGTAAATTATAGGCATTTACGATTAAAAGTAGTACTACATTTTGATCGTGTGGAGGATCTATATCCATTATATTTTACGATACAGTTGAATATTTAAACCTGTCAACTCTTATATATATTCTCATCAACATCAAAGTTTGGCAGAGAGAAACATTACCAAATACAAAGAACAAGATCCAACCAATGGAACCCTGAGGTAAGGACAAGTCAGATGCTCAGAATTTCTAATTGGAAAAAAAAAATTTAGAAACCATTACCAGGAAATACACAGCTCATTGATTAGGAAAAAAATTAGATGCGACAGGGATTTCCGAAGGATGAAAAGGAAAGGATGCCGTACAACAAAACATATGCTCAAATCGACGACGCAGCATTAATAAATAAATGAAAACAGATTATAGGAACTCTGCCAATTGAATGGGTCGATCCTCAAGCATCTGGAATACCAACAGGTGAAGCCACAAAGCACTCGATAACTTCACTCTAAGGGCAGCAAATTTTGAATTTCTTTCGCTTCCTGTATATGAACGTATCTGCAGAAAATATACATACTCCAAAACAAAACTAACGAATGTAAAAGCTTCTCTTACATCGCGACTCTTTGTTATGCCACTGTCAAGAACAAAGTGTAGACATTTTATCCTCGTTTGACTGTACAAAGATTTGGTGGGCTTCAAACATCAATGAGATCATAAAATGAACCATAGACGTAACTAAAGCTCAAGTAAATACCAAGAGTATCATATGATATATGCCCAGTACTGCAGAAAAGGACATAATGCTCATACTAAACAAGCCAACTAAACAAAGTTTATCTTTAGATTGCAGTGGAGCAGCTAGATTAATATGACTCGTCGTCAAACATCCAACACATGGGAAAAAGGAGAAAACTTTACTCAACCTAACTTTAGTAGACAGACAAAAATATCAAGTTACCAGCTCGCTTGTGCTACAGTACACAAATCAGCAAAACTATCTTTCGATTGGAATGCTAGAATGATTTCTCAAAGACAGTAAGCGCTGAGAAAATAATCAATGCATGACACAAATGTTAGTCCAGCATAGAGGAGCTGCAGTGCATTTAGTAATACATCATTTGCTTTACTTTGGGGAATGTAAAATACATAAATACGCATTCAGTAGATCAGCTGGTTAGACATGGAAATTTCTCGAAAATATTCACTGAAGAACTTACTTCTTTGAGCTGTTACCACAACTGCCTGAAACCAGTGTAGCTACTCTCCTCTAAGATAACCTCTTAACTCCTGCTAATAAATCTCAATCCAAGATCAAACTAATGTACGGACCATAATGAACAAGGATTTTTAGTTCAAATGAAACCAACACAGTACATAAATGAATATGAAGGAGACAAAAAACTTATCAGACAAATTAAAACACCACCCTGTGATAATTAGACAAGCTCAACAGTCTCTGAGGCAGAAGATAAGCAAGACATTGTTATGCACAAAAAAATTCAACTGATTCAGAGGAAACATTTTTCAAGAAACATGTAGTCATGCAATCATTTAAAAAAGATGGCTCATAGAGAACCAATAGGATAAACAGTTGTAAAATGATCAGGGGAAAAAAGGCGGATTACCTAGTATAAGATCACATAAGTGACTTTGTTTTCCAATAAATTACCAGATATACTCAACTCAGATGGAAGACATGCTCCTACCCTAAAAATCAGCTTCAGAATGCTTCTGATGCACCACAGAAGTTACTGTATAGCGCACCAAATTCCCCAGAAGCTTAGCTACTACGAAGATTTTCAACATATGTCTGCTTCTTTCCAGCTTCGCATACCTGTACCAAGTGCTTCATGTGCAGGTTTAAATATAGTTTTCTAAGCGTTGCATGACCTGCTTCAACCTGCTAAAGGAACAGGAACTGCAGCTCATACCTTACTATACATAATAGATGAACTAGATGACTTTTAAACAAAAAGTAACTCTCTCTCCTTTTTATGCTCTTGAATTAATAAAACACTGACATATCTCAGACTAGGCATCTCACTGAAACTGATGGTAAATGATCACCAGGTCTCAAGTAAGTCACATCTAAGAAAATCATTTAGAACTTCCAAGCTCCAAATATGGAGGGAAAAACTAGATGAGAAGATATTAAGATTCGATAAGGAAGATGCAACTGCTTTTATATGCTACTACCTCAAGTTCTACCAGTAGCATATATAATATTGATGTCAACTCATCCAAAGATGGTAACTTAACTTTATCGATAATCAATAATTAATACAATGTAAGAAACAAAACAGTGTTGGATTCATCAGGAAGATCAATTAGGACAATGCAATTGAAAGACAAAAGTTCACGTCTCGAATGTGCATAGTTCTCAATTAACACTCGAACTGATTGAGCAGTAGGGGCCTGGCACAGTAAGAGATCAAATAAGTCAACCACATGAAAAATAGTCATTTCTAGCGTTTCTATAGAGACCAAGAAACTCAGCAATATGCGTGTGCAATTGTACATTTTAGTGCTTTTGAGGGATAAAAGAAGGGAATATTCCTGGGCAGCTCAATCAACCAAGTCTGAATATGATATAAATGGGATAAATGCTCAATAGACTGTAACTCGTTACAAGGAGAGACGTAAATGACAGAAGACGATTAGGATTTGCCATTAACTTTGAAAGGGTATATAAAAGAATGGACTGCCCTAGTTACAATTTCTAGTCTGCTTGAGGTAGATGTTTTGGTAGTTAGTTGTATCATGACTAAAGTACTAGCATTCTGATTTAGACTGGAATATGCACAAGGTATAAATTCTCTCTCTAAAAGTTCAGTTTCAGCTCTGAAAGGTCATCCATGGGAATTTCTAGGCCCACTAGATCATTGTCTTGCAGTGCATCATCATCAACATTCAACCAAGAACCAATATCTTGACCTTGACCACCCAGCCCATCGGTTACGTCTAATCCATCAATAGAGTCTATCCCCTGCAGTGGCAGGTTTGTGAATATATTATCTTCAATCTCTTTTGACAAATCCTGAGCATTGCTTGAACCAGCCAATTCAACATCTGCATTTAGTTTAGAGCTGCCAGGATTTAAGTTTTCGCAAGAATCCTGCATGGAAGACAACATAATAGTTTTTTCTGTAATCCTGCCAAGGCCATTTCCAGAAGTTGATAATTGAGCTATCTTCTGCTTTGGCTTTGCTTTTGTTTTACGCTCACCCCTGCCAGTGCTTTGTGATGGAGAGCCATCTTTCGGAGCAGAATTCTTTGTTAAAGGATCAATACTATGATCATTATCAGTTTTCTTCCATTTCACACAACCTGCAAGAGTACTACTGAAATTCGGTGCAGCTCTTGAAGCAGCACCTGAAACAACATCATCAAGCAGTACCTCCCTCTTCTTCCCTCTATTAGAGATTGGGTCATTTCTAACAACTGGTTGTTCTGAAAACTGAGTGAGGCCTTGATGTGGATCCATTCTACTCCTGTCAATCTTATGACTAGCCCCATTTCTCTCGATGACATTTGATGACAAACCAGAAGCTGCAAAAATGCACACCAGCATGCTTATACAGTCAAATTGAACATGGTAAAAAACAAAAAGGACAGTGCTTTCAAAAAATTATATAGGTATTAATCAATAAACACAAATAGATTGATAAGAGACATATTTGAAGGCTGTTGAAATGAGATGACAAATTGACTAAACATATCATGTTATGCTGCAAGTGGCATACCTGATACCCGGGAAGCAGGCTCACAAGTATGTAATTCTACATGTACATTGGAAGCTATTCCAGAGGTAATTCCATCAATATTTTTTGCCTCAATGTTGTGCACTGGTTCAGAGAAGAGCACGTCCCTATAGAAAGGTTCCCCGAAGCAGCTTTGACCTGTTTCCTCATACTTACGGCATCTAGCAAGAGTCCTCTTAGCAAAAGCCATAGCAAGCGGTTTAGAAATCTTGCTAGCACCACCCTTATGGCTCGCCCTCCCCCCCCCTGCCATAAGGAGTTTTAGAGGCATTTCCCAGTGCAATAATCACACAAAACACCAGCGAAACGATGTTAAAGTTTTTTTTTCCGAGAAGTAATGTTAAACAAATGTTACAGTGTGTGAAAAAATGTTACAAATGTTACAAATGTTACAAATGTTAAACAAATGGTTAGAGGCAACAGTAGTGGCTCTTGACATATTCTTCTGGTTTCGGTCCTTGGTTGGTAGGAGAGGATAATTAGTAAAGCTAGGTGTAGTGTCTGGCATTGATTGTGTCACACCCCGGGTCTGCAAGCCCGTTAACGTGACGTAAGCTGTGGGATCAACTGAGTGTAACACGTTGTTTGGCTAAAATCACTGCCAAAATCGACTAGCCGATGCTATACTTGAGTCTCAGGCATATCTATTTAAGTCATTCAAAATTTCATACTCTCCTAATGTGGGACTAAAATTTGGGGCACTACAATCACCTCACCTTAAACACGCGATATCCTTATCGCAACATAACAATTGGCACACCCCACTATTACCACCAGATGATGTAGACTCTAGAGTTAGATCCTACGGGCTCTAGAAGTGGCTCTCACCATACTCACGCAATCTAGCACTTAGCCTCACGTAACACTTAGCTCCACACTTTCTGCTCGCTGAATGCTCTGATACCATTTGTCACACCCCGGGCCCGCAAGTCCATTGGCATAATATAAGTCGTGGGACCCACTGAGTGTTGTGCGTTTTTGGCTAAAACCACCGCCAAATCGACTAGCCAATGCTACACTTGAGTCTTAGGCTTATCTATTTAAGCTATTCAAACTTTTCATACTCTCCTAATGTAGCACTAATATTTAGGGCGGTACAGATTGATAGAGCAAACTAAAATGCAACCATGTTATTTTTAAATATGATATGAAACATAGAAACACTCAGTTACCTGTATAGCGTATAGTGGGATTCAAAGGAAAATACAAAACCTTGAGTTACCTTCAAAGTCAGCTAAAGCCCCCAGGAAAAGCGAGGATTGGGTTGCACCCTACGTTGCACGAGTGCGGGTGTGGACACGGACACATGTGCGGATATTGGAGACAACAAAATTGTGAAAGATAGGATATGCGAACTGTGCGTGTGTTGAAATTAATAATTTATATGAGATTGTTTTTTAAATGACATGTTATGAGAAACTAAAATCCCTATAACATGTTATGAGAAACTAAAATCCCTACAACATGTTATGAGAAACTAAAATCCCTATAATATTTTTATATTTCTTTTATTGAGAGGATTATAAATTGAAAAACAGCTCAATTTGAACTAGAAACTCAAACAACCCTTTAAAATCATATTTATGGGCTGAAACGGATCTGAGCCGAGCCCAATGAGTCACAGAAATTTGAGATGAAGTGTAAAATATATGTCCAAGAAGTGTATCACAACTTTTTTAAACTAAAACATGTATTAATTGAGTACATCTCTGAATAAATATGTATATATACCAAAGAAGTGTTCAAGGAGTGTCGGACACGGTGATAGGAAGCATCAGACACAGATACAGGAGCCCAAATGAAGTGTCCGGTTAACCTAGGTTGCGTCGTATATATCAAAGTATACAATAATGATGTATTCGGTGCATCAAATGTGTGGTCTAATAATTACCTAAAAGACTGTTCTCTCATCTGTTCTCTATGTTGAGACATAGGGAAGGATCCTAAATTAGCCTAACCATTCGGCTGCTATTTCAGTATGCTTTTACAAATCGCTAACTACTAAGGATAAAGTAGGTCTGCTAAAGGTTACTATGGGTCAACATGTCCCTGTAGAACTTCAATACAGACCAGAGATGATTCATTTTTGTGCATATAGAAGCAACAGTAGACACTGAGCAAATGATAGAGAGCAAGTATCACCAAATGCCATTGACAAATTAAGCCCTAATGGAAGGAAAAGTAAAGTAGCGTGCTACTGCCTCTAATTGACATTACGAAACGTCCGCTTACCTTCCAATACCCCCCCAAAAAAACCAAAAAAGACTAAGAAAACGGTCTTGTTTCTTCTCTTCATAACCTTCTACTGTTTCTTTTCTTCCCTTTAGTTGCTCCTTCGTCTCTTCTGCTGCCTCTTCTCTAATACTAGTTTCTTCTTCTTTCTATTGTCACCTTCTCCTTTTATCCTCCTACACTTCTTCTATTTCTACTACAGCTTTTTCCGCGGTCGTTCCTTCCCTCTTCCTCTCACTTCTTCCTCTACTCCTATTACTTTTCCTCTCTTCTGACCTCTTTGTTCTCTTTACATCGTCACTCCCTTCTATCCATCATTAATGGATATCAACTTAACACACAATTGAAAAATACAGAAAGTTGTATTCATAAAAGGAAAATAAAGGAATTGAACAGACTTTACCAGAAACTTTGTGTAAGCCATCTCCACAAGCTTGTCCATAGCAAGCTGATCAAGGTTCCTACAAGAAGAGGTTAAAATCAGTCAAATAGACGAGACATATAGAGACTAGGTCGAAATTATGGGAATTCCTACCTCATCTCACATTCCTTTTGTGCTTGAATTGCTTTCTCCAACTTGCATAACTGATTTTTCTTTTCCTTTACCTATATTAGATAATAAACAAGAATAACTCTGAAGAAGGTCAATAAGGTCTCAGGGTAGCTATAAATCTGAGAAGAACGAAGCATCTAATCTAGTTGGCAGAGACTACTAGGATGAAGATGAAAGTAAGTAGAAAAGAAATTCTAAATTGTTTTATACTCGGTGTTTTATGGGACCTCTATACCTGTGATAGATACATGAACTGCAATGCTGTATATTACCACCCAGTGATTAGAAAAGAAATAAACATGCAGTTTAAAACAATATGCCATGATGATCAAAAACTGCAATCTTAACAATAAAAAGCTATGTCCCAAATACCTAGGTTTGCGATTGAAAATCAAATTTATCAGGCTGAAATTAACACCCGCCAATTATCACATCCTTTATGGGACGACCAGCACTCAACCAAGAAAAACACTTCTTGTTCTCCAGCAGTTCTGCCACCAACTCACGAAACCACAATAGAGCAAACAATGACAGCTTTACTCATGCAAAACTCATCAACCATATGGAGATGGACTTTAAGGATTGAGAAGGTGGGTTTTTACTTTTTATCCCGACAGTTTTCAGTCGTGAAGAAACCTATAAATGGTGATCCACATCACAACCCAAATGGGTTTTGGTCTCAATTGGACTTTAGAGATGGAGAAATCCACCCATTCAGTACACAAAGATGGTCTAAATTTTTTGGTTTAGAGATGAAAAAAGAAATCTACCATACGTACTCAAATAGGTTTTGGTTCCAAATGGCTAATGGTGAAGGTATAGAAAAAAAAAGAGTTTTTGAGACGAAAAGCTTATAAAATATCACCTCACAAATTGGTAAAGATTTGAAATAAGTAGGAAAAAAATTTAGTTTATTAGACTAAATTTGTAAAGGAAATCAAATTAAAAACCAATTAGCATGATCTTTTCCTGTGGGAATATTCTATTAAGGCTGATAGATTATTTCAAATATGAGGGTTTATTGGAAGGCTTTGAAACAATTACATGATCCAGGGAACAGAGCTGCTAAAATAGTTAACTATGAAACTAAAGTCAAATAAAAAAGACAACCTGCTGGTAAAGCCTTATCCTGAGCTCTGAAACAGCTTCGTCAACCTCATTGCCATATTCCCCAGCAAGATCAGTCTGTATAAAGCAATTGTAGGAGAAAAGGTGCATAAAACATGAAATAATAAAAAATACAGGTAAAAAGTTAATTCGGACTGAATAACAAGCTGGTAAGTCCGTAACTCCACATTCTACTTAACTCTCTAAAGGGAACTTGACAGTCTTGCAAACAGAATTTAAAAAGTATATAAAGAAGCTAAGTAACACAAAAATCATGCAGTGTACAGGTCATAACCAGCAGATGAAATACAAGAAGGTAGTTAACAAGGTAGCAATCACGATTTTTTTATATTGCAGATCAAGTATTAGTGTTTATCAGCAAAAGCCAAAAGGAATATAATGTTATGACCTGCTAGAAGTCAACAACTTCTGGGGAGCACATTGCAGAGCAAGCATTAAGAAGAACTAAGGCAGGGAAATAATCTAGAAATTTCATGTCAATAAAGATCCGCGAACATGTGCTACCTTGCCTTTGCAAATATGTCCAAGTATTGTACAACACAGTTATGCAATGGTGTTATTAGAACTTTTCAGTGACATAAATATTGGTTTCTGTTGGGTAACACAATTGACAAGTTAGCAAATACGAAGTCTAGATGCCAACAATAATTTCTAAATAATATGGTTTAAAAGTAAAATGAAGGCTAAAAAATGACTGTTACATCATAATAGGCGATAATTTTTTTGCCCTCCAATTCCATGAGCAAGCTCCCCTAAACGCAAGGTTTAATAGCGCATAAGCAATCACAGATCGTGAATGAAGAATAAGTAGTTTGTGCGCGTGAAAAGGGATTGTTCAGGCAAAATAAGCTTTAAACAACTAATAAAACATTGGAATTTGGAAAAAGTCTTGAATAAGGATATGAAGGAAGAAAGCTAATGCATAAGCAAGGGTTGGATAAGCATAAGCAATTATAGACAGTGAATAAAAAATAATTAGTTTGTATGCGTGAAAAGGGCTTGTTAAGGAAAAATAAGCTTTAAGCCTTTAAACAACGAATAGAACATTGGAATTTGGAGAAAGCCTTGATTAAGGATATGAAGGAAGAAAGCTAAGGACTCTAGAAATATCAACAAAATAAATAATAATAATAATAATAATAATAAAGAACAGAAGTTGTTCCTTAGTTCAATCAAGAACCAGGCAGGGAAGGCCACTAATTCCACTAAAATGTTGAATCCATGTGGAACCTAGTTCTTGGCATCACAGGACACTAGGCCTTTTTTCTCTTTGCCATTATAAGTGATACGAGTAGCCGTGCGAGCACCTTTGATTGCGGAATTACCAAATGTGGTTTTGAGAAGAAAACAGTAAAACACAAAACAATTCAATTGACGAAAAAAATACCTTCTCTAGATTATGAAGAATAAAAGATTATAAAATCTCTCTCTCACAATCTCTCTAGAATAAAGAATAACTTCTCTATCCTCACTAAACTCTAATCTCTTGATTAGAATCTCTCCTCTGATGTTTAAAAACCCTAAACAATCCTTATTTATAGTTTAAACAACGTGGGCGACAAAGTGATAAATAATCAAGCCCAATAGAACTTAGAATTTGCGTCAAACAGAGTCCAGGTCAACCCAGAAAACGCGATCCGGTCGACCGACCTGCTTGGTCCGGTCGACCGGCCAGAGTGAGGGTTTTTAACCCTGCAGGATTTTCTGATATCGGTCGACCGATGCTGATTTCGATCGACCGATCGGTCGACCAATGATGGATCCCAGTCGACCGGTTAGAACACACGACTCTCGCCTGTAGCGTGCACGTTTCCGGTCGATCGATACTGATCATGCGGTCGACCGGCCAGAGCCAAAATGCTAATTTTTCTGAGTTTTGCTATTTTCCTGCTTTTGACCACTTTTGCCTCCTTCGATGACTCCGCACACGCTTTTATTCTTAAGCTACCTGAGAATCGTCTATCATCAAGCTCCCCATGAAGATCGTTAAGCTCCCAAAACAAAAAAGAAGATACACCCGTATCATGGCTCCCCCTTTAGGAACTTAAAGTCTCGTTCAAGTTAGAACTTCAGCTAAGGGAACTCGCAGGCCCCCTCCTTCCCTATTGAACCACCTGACCTTGCTAGGAACCTGATCCTAACGTCCGATCAGAAACGACTCCTTCGTCTCGCGTCTCGTCGTAGTCACCTTCCGCTCTAAAATGCAATCCTCTTTCAGTAGCCCCTCATAAGGCCTAATAAACAGCGAGACAAACTTCTTGCTTGCATTCACTAGCCTCTTCACCCGGGTCAACGTCACCAAGTTTGTCCCTTCGGAAGAGACGCAAACGAAATATAAATTTCTCACCGTCTTTGGTGAATGTGTACTTCTGAGCCCATCTTTCGTAGATTGCATATCTATCCCATAAATACGGATTGCCCAGTATAACCTGACAAACATCTAATAGAACTACGTCGCACGTGATCTCGTCAATATACGACTTATTGAGTGCAAATCTGAAAGGGCATTGATTAACTACACTCAGCCCCGTCTCCTTCTAAATCCACCCCAATGGATAGAGCTTTGAATGATTAACCGTCTTCAGACCCAGCTTCTGAACCAAGACCTCGGATATCAAATTCGTCTCGCTGTCTGGATCAATTATGACATCTACCAAACTGGTCTTCACTTGTAACTTAAGAACAAAGAGCTGCTCTCTGGGGTCTTCATCCTCCTGTGCGGCATGCTTCCCTGCCATAAGGTTGAGACTGTTGTTGGGTTCCATCATTCATGGGACTTCTTTCGGATCTTGTGCTATCACATATGTCTTTTTCTCATCCTTCTTCTTCAACCCCTTCGATTTGAGATGAGGATATTTTTCCAGCACCGATCAGCAACATGTCGTATCTTCTCGTAATGACTACAAATCAGTCCTGCTTTTTCTGGATCATCCTTCTTCTTTTCTTCCTTAGGTTAGGAACAACTAGACTCGCCTCCAGCTTGCTTAACTTCTCCCTTCGTCTCGTTGCTTTTCTTCTGTTTGCCTTCAATAGCAATAGCATTCACGCTCGCCTCCGCAATTGACTCAACCGTGAATAATTTCATCTCCTTCCGGATGTATTCGTTCAACTTCGTCATATACTTCATAAAAACAAAGTACTACTCTGTCGTTGAGGACCATCGCTTGCTGCTGAAACTCTGTAGTGTATTCTTAAACGGTTTGATTGAATCTTTGGCGCAAGCCGTACCACTTGTACCAACGCTCTTCAAGGAATCCCACCAGGTAGAATTGTTTCCTCAGTAGCTTCTTGAACTTGTTCCACGACACTGTTTTCTTCTCCTACTTGTAGTAGGATTTCCATCACGTCAATGCGTGTTCGGAAAGCTTCAATGTCGCAAAAATAATCTTCTCCTTAAACGAATAGCCATAAAGAGCAAAATATATCTTCATACGCTCGATCCAATCGTCAAGCCTCTCAACGTCAACACTCCCATCATAAACAGAAATCTCAACTCTGAAATCAATCTTCAGATTCTGGTAAGAACCCTTACCCCCTTTTTGCGTAATAGTCTTGACGGCCTCGACCTCCTCGTCGGAATCTGAATTCTCACTGCCTACATCGGATTCTATAGGTTTCTTCTTAGGCCCCGCCGAAGATTCACTTTTATTTTCTCCTACGTGGATGAGATTGACGAGTTTCACGAGTGTCGAACTGATTGTTTCGATCTGTTTTTCCATCGCATCAAGCCTCGATGAATTGTCGCTTTCTGTCATCTTCTTCTTTCTTAACTTCTGGACTTTTTCTAAAGAGACAAGAACCTCGCCTAGCTTCTTGTATTGCAATCGAGTAAGGACCATACACAGGATTGCCCCTTCACAGGGTTTGATTGCTCTGATACCAACTTGATACGAGTCGTCGTGCGAGCACCTTTGATCGCGGAATTATCAAATATGATTTTGAAAAGAAGACAGTAAAACACACAAAACAATTCAATTGGCGAAGAAAAATACCTTCTCTAGATTATGAAGAATAAAAGATTATAAAATCTCTCTCAACTCTAATCTCTTGATTAGAATCTCTCCTCTGATGTTTAGAAATCCTAAACAATCCTTATTTATAGGTTAAATAACGTGGGCGACAAAGTGGTAAATAACCAAGCCCAATAGAACTTAGAATCTGCGTCAAACAGAGTCCAGGTCAACCCAGAAAACGCGATCCGATCGACCGACCTGCTTGGTCCGGTCGACCGGCCAGAGTGAGGGTTTTTAACCCTGCAGGATTTTTGATATCGGTCGACCGATGCTGATTTCGATCGACCGATGATGGATCCCGGTCGACCGATGATGGATCCCAGTCGACCGGCCAGAACACACGACTCTCGCCTGTAGCGTGCACGTTTTCGGTCGACCGACGCTGATCATGCGGTCGACCGGCCAGAGCACAAATGCCAGTTTTGCTATTTTATTGCTTTTGACCACTTTTGCCGCCTTCGACGACTCCACTCACGCTTCTATTCTCAAGCTACCCTGAGAATCGTCTATCCTCAAGCTCCTATGAGGATCGCTAAGCTCCCGAAGCAAGGAAAAAGATACACCCGTATCAATAAGATTAATTAATAAGTAAATATTTTCTAAAAGTATGCAATAAACAAACTATTTAAAGTGCATTTAGATGTTATAAGTATCAATAAGTCTGAAAATTAGATCATCATGAACACAGGTCTAATGAAGATATCTATCATGCAAGGAGTTCAGAATAATATAGATTTCGAGATGATATACACTTCAAAGGACATAAACAGCACAATGATTTGCTTTTCAAGATATGGACCACCATCTGAGCTCCAGGGATTGAGATCCAAGAGTACTAAGGATTGCTTATAAACATTGATTAATGTGTTCTTAGCTTTCACAAAATTTGTATCCTTATTTTGTGAACTTAAGATTGTATACAGCAAATGTATGAGAAGCAGTTATTTTATTGAAAATGCACAGATCAACCTGATCCAATGTCTCTTTAGTTATATAGTAGAATATATTTTAAATACTTAAAAATAATTTGGAATATGTAAAGAATATGGAAGTGTATAACATAATTAGATACAACAAGAACAACAAAGCATTATCCCAAATGTTTGGGGTTGACTACATAAACCTTATTCTTTCATTTCGTTCTATTATGGGTCATCTCCTCTGTTAAGTTAACCATAATCATATCATTCTTAATTGCTTCCAACCAAGTTCTTTTAGGTCTACCTCTATATCTCTTTACTCCATTAACTATAATATTGTCACATTTCCTAACCAATATACTAAGAGGTCTCCGTTATACATGACCAAACCATCTTAATCGATTCCCTCTCATTTTATCCTCAATAGAAGCAACCTCTAATTTACTAGGGTTGTTGTATAACAAAGGTAGAAAATGCTAAAAAATAAATGAATATGTAAGTGAACAGATAGAGCAAAGAAAAGCCTACAGAACAGAAGTTAGAGACTTAAGTGCTTAGTTATTGAAAATTAATGAATTATTTGATTGAAACTGGATTCCTTCTCTTTTCGAAAGGTGTGCTTCTTTCTCTTTTCCTGAAGGTCTGACTCCTATAGTTTAACCTTGATTCACTATTTTTATACTCCGTTATTTGATTCAGAATTTCCCTATTTTTTCTAGTCTCCAAATAAGAACCCCATCAGGTCGCTTCATTTCAACTGTTATTAGCAAACTTTTACCTTCCACGGTTGATGATGAAAGAATTGAAATGTTTATCCTACCACTGCACCAAGATATCCTAAAATTGATAAAATGAAAAGTCAGAAAAGCTAGAGTTATAGAAAAATACCTCAGCATCTGGATATATGCCAATACTCTGCAGTTCCAACAAGATCCTGTCGTCCAAAGACATATGCTCATACTGGCACTGATGTGGAGAAGTACCAGACAGAGCCATATTCATCTCTTCTTGGTTGTTTGACTTGTGTAGTTCAAGTTCACAAAGAGTTCCAATTTCTTGATTAGCTGGATGTGCCAGATCATCATTTTCTTGTAACAGCTCCTCGCCAGATATGAACATGCTTGGGCACCTAAAGGTGGAACCTGAAGATGAAAATCCATTGCAACTTGTCTGGCTCCCTAGATCATTGTCTAGCTCCAATTTGTAACTAGTAAGATCAGAACCACACTCGCCATAGGCGGAACAATCACTTGAAAACTGCAAACTTCTATCTCCCCGCTTAACATTGTTGTCTATCATATCAGATCCATCCTCCAAAATGAAGGCAGAGAGAAGCTTATGTAATAGCGGAATCCTTCTGTTAAACAATCTCTCTGTTCCTTCTCCAGATGTGGCTTTAAACGGTTTTTGCTCATCAGCTGAACATGCAGTCCCATCACATTTTTTAAGCCCAACCAAATTTGTCTGACTGAATTGTTGAGACATTGGAGATGGCACAGCTTGGGATGCATTCTCAGCCTGGATAGGAAAATGAACTCACAATTAAAAAAGCACAATCTCATTGAATAAAAGGTACTATGTGAGTTGAGTCAATGGAAGCAGTCAACATTAAACAAATTTATGTTGCAGGATTGAATAACTAGCCCAAATAAATTAAGTAGAATTAACCAACTACTTTCACAATTAGAGAGAGTATTTAAAATAGAAAGTAGAATAAAGCAGCATGAGTCATAATATAAAAAAGAAATTTAAAAATGAAATCTAAGGAAATAAACAAATGAGCAGTTGCTATAAACAGAAAGTTCCAGTAGAATGTAACATTACAGTATAGTCTGCATCAACAATGCCAGAGAAACTTCCATCAATCTCCTTAGCAATATTTATCTGGCACAAAAGATTATTCCAAAAAGTTAAAAGCTGCTGAAGAAAGAGTCCTGAAGTTTAAATTTTTGCACCGTGGAGAACAAAAGAAGAAAACTAGTCACAGACACATGCCTGATGCTTCAACAGGCCAAAATCCTCTGAACTGACTGAAGCAAAAATTGGTTCTATTTTCTTCCAAAATGGACCAGAATGTTCCAAACCTGCAGGTGCTTTAACACATTCATCCTATAGAAAATAGTTCCACACTAACTAAGGGAATTAGGTAAAGGTGCTCACAGCCGTTTCTCCGAACATATTTAGCAGCTGCTAATAATTCTTCATGATCATCATCTGATTCACCTACAAGAGAAAAATAAATAAGATGCCTTCATAAAACACCACAAGGGGAAAAAATCAAGTTTTTTTGCAAATTAAAATAATAATAACACGTTGCATGAAACAAATACCGGCCAAGTCTGAGGAGCCACCGTTTATAACTTGCACAGGACGGGTAGAACCCTTGCGATCTGATGCCTTTTTTGAGGAAGGACGGCCAATTCTACTGAACCAAAACTTATACAATTACAACAACCTCAAATAACATTAGCCGCTTAAAATTTTGAAATAAAAAAAGGACCTTTCAGTTTTATCAGAAATTAGCCTCCCGCTTTTGAGTGGCTTGGCAGCATCTGAACTTTCTAACTTTTCTTTGCTTAACTGTATACAAACTCTCGACTGCATTGAACCTCTTCCGCTCCGACCTTGCCTCCGGACTCCATCTCCAATTTCTTCCCCAGCAAGGACCTTATTCTTTTTTGTAGGAAAACCAAAAGTTGCAGTTCTATGGGCTACATTTACTGTTCCATTCTCAAATTGGCTATTACCAATTCCTTTTGCTTTGGACTTGCTTTCAAGAGCACCAGATTCCTCACTCTCAGATGGGGCAGCAGGAGATGATACATTATCAGGTTTCGAATTTAATTGAAAGTTATTTGGTATGCCCCTGTTGGATATCCCACTGGAGTCCATACTTGATAATTTGGCTCCAAAGTCAGAAGCTGCAGAGCCTTCATTCTGAGTATCATCCAAGTTTGACACTGGAGAAACTACATTTGCTCTTCTAGTACGGGAAATCTTTTCCCTACGTGTACCTCCCCACCTAGCAGCTACAGGAGGTGAAGAGGATCCTGTCGGTAAAGGTCGTTTGCGATTGCTTGCACCAGTCAAGGGCAGGACTTTGTTCGATAAAGAAGGATGCTCCAATCCATCGATACCTCCTGAAGAGCAGGGAAAACTAGGCATATTGATTACAATGCCTGAACCAGTTCTTGGAGCTCTAGCAGCTTTTCCTTTTGTTAAAGGACTCTGAGTTCCTACTTGAGCATCATCACACATATTCACCCTGGATAACAGGTTGAAGAAAAAACTCAGTGTGGCAGGTGAAACTTGAAACAAATGAAGACCAAAGGTTACAAAAGACAACCAAAAATAAACATAATGCCCTTCACTACACAATCATCATACAGAGCTTAACAGTCCCATCTATCAAATATGCATTATAGCATCTAGTAATGTGCAGGTGCAGCGCACATAGACAAACAGGGCCCGCTAAATTTGCACCACCACAATCAAGTGTTCAGCAACACAGGATTTATCAGTGAAGAGTATAGTTCTCAAGAGGGAAAAGGAAAACACACCAAAAACTAAATTATATGTGAGAAGAAAATAAAGCGAGTATCCTAACTTGAGTATTGACAATAGGGATGTAAGCAAAGTGAATACCCAGATACCGTATACCCTAGCACGAGCACTATCATTAAGAATGTAAACAAATCAAACCTCGATATCCGAATCGACAAATATTATCTGCTATCTAACTTAAGATATTTGATTATGCAAACAACAGAGCATTTATATATTTATAAGTTATGTATATTATAGATATGTGGAGTGTATATCTGAAGCACCTTTGGATTTTGAGAACTATTGTCCATATTCACATAAATGGATGCAGATACAAAGTGGTGTGTGATATCAATATATTCATTTATAACCCTAATTATCACATTGGAAGGACCTGGAAGAGTTTGCAGTAGTGAATAGTTGCTACACCTACCCGGTGTTTGGAAAAGCTTTTTCAAACTCACTTCAAAACATTTTGAAGGATAATTACTTAGAAACTCATAAGTGGAGCTATCTACCCCTTGAAGCCTATGCTTCATCATTTAAAGCATAACTAAAGCGCGCGCATCACGCTCCATGAAATGCTTCTCTTTTGATGGCACACTTTAGACAAGATAGAAGGATATAAAAGAACTTTTAAATAAAATTAAAATGCCCCTAACATTTCATTTCCTTTTCCTCTCAAGGATTTCCCCTTCAATAAGGAAATTTAACTATAGGTCATGTGTCTCTTCAATATGACCATGTGACTAGAAATAAGATATATATCTTATAGGTGTAGCTTAGTTTATTATGATTTGCATATGTACTTAGCATATTTAAACCTTATTTACCAATCAAGACTTGAATGTTTTATTATAAAATTTTACACCACTACATATTAAATGCTTATAACATTCATAAATTAAAATATATTTAACTCGTGAGGTGTACGCCTCACGGTTTGAAGCTTACACCTTGCTTCATAATACTGCCTTGCATTTCCACTTTTTTAAACATTACACCTATCAGCATTGTTGAAGAGAATAGGAAACATCATGAACATATACATACTTATTGCTTCCTTTTGAACTGGTCCGCTCCTTATCAAGCCCAAAAAAGCGTTCTTTTCTATCATTTGAAAGAGATTCATTACTAAGATCATTCCTTGGTATGATGCGGGAACCACCTCCACTCACTTGAGAGGAACCGTCCATCCTATTACTTCCGATGCTTCCATTAGGTGATTCAGTTCTGCAAATTTTTGAAAACAGTTAATATGGAAGAATCCAATGGAATTTTGCAGCCCATCAAAACACATAAACACAACACAAGGAGGCATAACTATCCATTTCCATAAACATAGAACCAAATAAGCTAATTCAGCAGAGAATATGAATGATTCAATGCTTTCAAACGAGAAGCTAAATTGCAAGAAGCGACAAGGGAAGGGGGCACCAAACTGAATGGTCCTCAGTTTTATGGAACAATAAATAAGAAGTATATTAGGTATTAAAGATCAGAAACTTGAAGAAATATAGGTTATATGTATAGTCCCATGCTAAGTTAACCCCAAGTTGAAACAAAATTGAATCATCAAACAATATGATAACTTAAGAGAACCAACTATCCAGCTAGCAAGAATCAAACCTGAAGTAAACTATATCAGTTGGAAGAATTGCACCTTATTATTTTTTTTAAGGATGATGACACTGAGAAGGCCCTCAACTATCAAGAAAAACAAAAGGTACTTATTTCTATAGAAAGTTACCTGAAGCAAAGACCATCACCAGATCGTGGACGGGATTCATAACTAGGCTTTTGTTGTGTTGCTTGTTTATGTTCTCGATCACCATCTGGGGGAGGTCTATTAACCATTGTGCCAACAGAACGTTTTCGCTTATTCTTTTTATCCCACCCTTCACTTCCTGCAGGCAATCCAGGCATCTTGTCATCAGTGGACACTGGATATCCATTACAAGCCCTCAACATATTTTTATCCTTGTCAATAAGCTTGTTTTTATCCTTGTCTAACATTGATCCTTGTCTCATAGGAAGATTGTTCTGCCCCTCTGGTTGAAGAGTACAAGGCAAAGAGGCCTAAATAAGAACATACAGAGATTAGATGTTGGTATTGAGTCATAATATTTGGACAAATATCTACCAGACAATCTGGCAAAAATTCATTCTGTCTCTTTCTATTTCTCCTTGGACATATTCAAAGAATGAATAAGGGGGGAAGAGAAGAAGAAAACGTGAACATCTTGCACATTACTCGGAAATAAAAATAGCATCTGCTAAAGGGGCAACCAACAAATGAATAAATGTAAAACAAACACACTCGAGTCACATGCATAAATATACAACAAAAGGCGCTCAAGTCATGATGATATCGAAAACCAAGGTCAAGTTAAACACAATATCAAAAGTCATCTAGCAAGTAGCAAGCAACAAAATAAATGCCTCGTAAGAAATACAAACCCGTACTTCCGCTATCGATGAGCGTATACGCTTGTTGAGAACACCATTCTTCGTCCTCTCTTCCACTCTCTGACCTACAAAGTCTGGAGGGTTTTGATGCATTTGACTCCCTATCTTCAACAAATTTGAGCTACTAGACTTCTCATTAAATTGGTTTCCACTCCGTTGTCGCTTCTTCGAGACAATGTTGCGAACCTTGTCCAGTTTCACTAAGGAATTTTGCAATGATTTTCCTCTCTCTCTGGTAAACAACAAGCACATTGCAAATTCATTTTAGATGATTCCCCGTATCTAAATTAAAGAATCCTTAATATTTAAGGTTTTTTCGACAATGTCCTATTAAAAAAGGCCCTAATATTAGTGTAAAACTTACTTTGCTCTACAACGAGTCTCCTCAACATTTCCTCTGAATCGTTTAAGCTCATCCCACGATATAGGGGGAAGGGGCTTCGATTGCAAAGATCCAAAGGAATGGTCCTCTACAGAAATTCCAAGAACTCTCCTCAACTCTCCTGACCTAACATTCTTCAGCTCATTTGTGGGGAAAGGCTCCAGTGACATAAACTGAGTAACCAGCGAAACGTCCGCTGAGGCTGCTGCATTCCTCGATGCCATTGGCCCCGAGGCCATCAAACGACTCTCCAAACTCTCACGAAAACTTCCAAGCCTATCTATATGGGAGCCGGAGTAAGCGCCACGCTGCCCATTTGGAAATGCCGATGCAAAGCTGGATCCTTCAAGACCACTTGAAGCCAGCTCCGCTCTCGTGCTCCCCACCATGTTAAACTGAATCAATCATAACTACTCACAACTCACATCCAAATTCCTAGATACTTCTAAATATTCATAATATCATCCCCCTCCAACTTAATAAAACCAAATGCAGCATGCAATGATACATGAATACCTTCTATATTACAGAACTTCTACAACACTAGTACTCGAGAAAATCTGGGGAACTGACTCCTTAAAAATCGTCAAAAGGAAAAAAAAAGGTTACAAAGTGGAGCGATTTGAATTCAGTGGCAAAACAATCTCAATCACTGAGCCCCCAACACAAGAAACTACTCAAATTGAACTCTAACTTCAAAGACAACCAATTTAACGATCAAACCAGAACCCTAACGAGAACAAATTTGCGAACTCAAAGCTCACCAAACAATGTAACTACTACAACGAAGTAATTCTAAAGATGAAGCATCGAAATTGAATGAACAGAATATCAAAAGGCTCAAAAAGTCGTAGAAAGAAAAAACCCTAATCGAGGAGCAATCAGCCAAACCCTAGTTCGCTCCGGCCTCTAGGGTTTTGCCATTGCTCGATCGAAATGGATTGGACCTCAAGTCAGTCGAGAAACGATCGATTTCGATGAGAGAGAGAAAACCCTCGAGCCGTCCTCAGGCGGATAATTCCGACATGAAGCAGTCGGCGAATTTGTCTTAAAAAAACAATTTTTTTCAGAGAGGCGCTATGTTGTTTGGGGGTGTAAAAAACGAATTTTTGGGTGCTGGCGCTAAAAATTATATTTCTTTTTTTTTTTCCCGTTTTCGGGGGTTTTCCGATATTAATCCCTTCAATCTGCAATATTTTGAATTCAGTCTATCAAATTGCCATTAAATCTCCAAATTCTTGTAAATTGTTTTAAAAATTAGCCTCTTGATTCATTGCTATTGCTAATAGGTCTCCTATACTTGCATGTTATTAACAAATTATCAATCAGGATTAACAAGGGTGAGATACAAGATGTCATTGAAAATTTTTTATGATTTGAGGGGCAAATTTCAAAATAGCTAAGATTTAAGGAGTTAATAAAAAGCCAATAACGATGTAGTTGGTTGTTACCTACTAGATTTTTATTTTGTTTTCATGTTCGGGCCCGGCTTTGAACCACCGTTCGGGCTCGTGGTTACCTGGAGTGAATCGGACAAATTGGGCTCGTGTCAGAATTTACACAAACAAGTGACTATCATTGACTTCAGTTTAAAGTCAAAATGTGGAGATTAGCAATTGACTTGCGTTGACCAATCCAGACCGAGACGCTAGGTGTCGGAGAGATTGATGGTGGGGTGAATGAAAATCTAGAGAATGTTGCCCCCACACGATCACAAGAGTGACTTTATCAGATATAAGGTAAAGACACTGCATGCTGTTCTCATTGATAGGTTTGTCTAAATCTCCATCAAACTAAACTTTATAATGACTTCAATAAGACCAAGGATTTTGTTTTTGATTTTCTAAAAAGGAGTTACAACTTACAATATACTGCATTTTCAAGCATAAAACTACTTGGAAAAAAAATCAAGAGCAAAGTATCGATGCATGGTAAGGAAAAAGATTAAAAGAATAGGAAGAAATGTTTAAAAAAAAATATTAACATAATTTCAAACATTTCCTTCTCCATTTAGTTTTAAGTCTGGTTTTTGCAAAAGTAAATTGAAAAATATTAATTAGCTTTTAAGTTAGAAGATAGATAAGTAAAAACTTGCTTTCTTGTTGAAGAAAGAGGTTGAGAGGCAATTTAGCAATTTATGGTATTCATCACTTAATAATATTCATTCATCATAGAGAAAGTGATTTGATAAACAAATTAAGGATATTGAAGAGAAAAATAAAAAATTGACATATGAACAAAACTTAATACTATTGAAACTTACATGTGCCCATATATCTGCCTTCATTCTCCTCACTAAATCCCATAATCGCTCTTGGAGATGTTCCATTTCGTCTTCAGGGCCCCCAAACACTCAATGCCAGGAAGACAATTTTTTGTAATGATTCACTATAGTATAAGTTTAAAGAGAAAGAATCTCTATGAGGAACATGAATGTAGATTTATCAAAATTATCAATAACTTAATTTCTTCCCGTTAACGTGCCTATGCTCAAACGACGCCAGCAGACAATAGCTAGTAGTTTCCAAATTTTAGATTCTAAAAAATAAAAGAGTTCATTTGCGGTACAAAGAGAAAATGTTGACCCCATGCATGCAAGAGCAGATCTTTAAAAATCACATGAGTATCTTACCATATCTAACAAAATATTCACTTCCACCGCTTGAAAACCGTGTGACATTACTGATACAGTCACGTGCACTAATATATACGCGTACATGTGCGCATGTTTATTCAATCGGGGTAACACTTCAAAAAATCTCGTTTACATTTGTAATACTGTGCATAATCAGTAGAAAAGAACTGGGGAAGGATGAGCAAAAGGGACTAGGGAATGTGTTTTTTAAGTGTTACAACGGGGAGAAGATGCTAGAGGTTCAGTCCATTCTTCAGCTTCTTCCTCCTCTGCTAGTTCAGTCGATTCTTTTCAGAATGTTGTAATGCCAATTGGGCAGGAGAAATTTCTCCGTCAATATTGTGTAGTTATCAGGTTTATGGAGTTGGCAATGTCAACATCTACTGCTTATTTATGAAATTCAGGAGGATAGGTTCCTCCGTCACTGAGCCAACCACAACAGATCGTAATTCTGGTCAGAGAATGAAACTTTCCATATAGATTACACGAAACATCAGTTTTTGGATTCTTTGGGTGGATGTCTGTTTTCATGTTGTTTGCTCGCAATTTGTCTCTGATTTGGTAAGTTCTCAAAGTAATTTGTTGAATGACGTTGAACAGAACTGTCGGTTTGTTTAGTATCTAGTCAGATGGTACAAATGAAGAATTTAAGTGTGTTTTCCTTAATTAAGAAGCAATTCTGATTTGTGTACTGGTTGTTAGTTAGAATCTGCAATTAGATGCATGCTGGCATTATGATGAAAATACATAGTATATTTCTTAATTTATGTTTGCGTCAAAAATTGATGTATTCATTGCGGTATTCATTACAACTTCAATCGTTACAATGAAAACATTTAAGTGACCGACGGGTTGGAGGGTCGGATTCAAGTGACCCGCGATTTGGAAGGTCGGATCCAAGTGATGTATTCATTGGAGGGTCAGATTTAAGTGACCGACGGGTTGGAGGGTCAGATTTAAGTGACCGACGGGTTGGAGGGTCGGATTCAAGTGACCCGCGATTTGGAAGGTCGGATCCCACTGTGGTCGCCAGTTTGTTTGCGTCAAAAATTGATGTATTCATTGCGGTATTCATTACAACTTTAATCGTTACAATGAAAACAAAAAAAGATTGTCTTTTTATAAGACTTTTACACAATGAAAACAAAAGTTTACAACTCTCGTCAAAACAAACGCAGAGGACGTTTATCACCCGCTGCTTTGCGTGGGATCTTTGCCTGTGCCGGGGTTTATCCGTGGACCGCCTTAGATCTGGATCCGGTTGATAAAAAATTCGGCAGAGTTTCGTCTTCGCCGAGGAAGTATTTGATTTGAAGCGCTGAGATCGACCAAGCGAAATCAGGGCTCTTCTCGAGATTAAGACCAAGCCTAATCTCAAGGGACGGACGGGAACGGGCGTCGGATCTCTCGAACTCTCCTTCTTTATGCCGAAAACTCGCCAAGATCTGTCAATCCTCGCTGAAATTCGTGCTCCTTTGACTCCACAATCCGGCAGCACCTCCTCGTCTTGATAATCAATCGCCCCTGAAAAATGGAGGCCTTTGACTCATATTTATAGGCCTCGAATGCGGTTATTTGGATGAGAACAAGTGATTTGGCTCTATCTTCAGTTGACAACAGCCTAACCACGTTTGGGGATGATCTCAAGCCAGTTAAGAACCTCTGGAACTGAAAAGATCTCGAGAAAACCGTTAAAACTATCGAAATACACATCAAGGGGTCAAAACAGCGCGGCAGACTGGCCTGACCCGCGCTTGCGCGGGTCGGATCAGTCCGACCCGCGCTTGCGCGGGTCGGACCAATCCGACCCGCACTTGCGCGGGTCGGATCAGTCCGACCCGGATGATCTCAAGTCAGTTAAGAACCCCTGAAACAGATGAATCCTGCGAAAAACCACTTTAAAACCGTCAAAACGCATTTCGGGTACCAAACTGCGCGGCAGACTGGTCTGACCAGCGCTTGCGCGGGTCGGACAGATCCGACCCGCCCTTGCGCGGGTCGGACCAATCCGACCCGCACTTGCGCGGGTCGGATCAGTCCGACCCGCGCTTGCGCGGGTCGGATCAGTCCGTCCCGCGCTCGTGCGGGTCGGTTTGTTCCGTCCCGCGCTCGCGCAGGTCGGTTTGTTCCGTCCCGCGCTCGCGCAGGTCAGTTTGTTCTGTCATGCGCTCGCGCAGGTTTGTTGATTTTTTCTTCTTTTCCGTTCTCTTTCTTCGAGACTTGTCCTTTCGCGTGTTTGGTTCGCTTCGTTGATTTATATGCTTTGAGTTGATTGACGCGTGCGTGTTGATTGACGCATGCGAGCTGATTGGCGCGCGCGAGCTGACTGTCAAGCGCGCAGGTCACTTGATTCGCCGTTTTGCTTCAGGCGCTTGTCGGCGTCAGATAATCCTCTTAGACTCGGATAACAATGTCTGTCGTCTTCTCTCTGTCTCGAGCTGTGTGTGGATACCTAGAGGCATTTTTAAACGCCTACAATTTAGTTCCTTTGCTTTTTTATGGATACTTCTGTGTTGATTGCTTGGCAAAGATCCTAGGGTAAGCTTCGATTCACACTCCTCAATTTCTGGATTTTTTTTCTTTTCGTTTGTAAATTTCTATTTTCATTTTGTTCACTTGCAGTTAGACTCAATTCGGTGACTCTTCAAAGGAAGCTTCATGCGGATTGATGCTTTCATATCTTAGGACTTATCTTACCCCAGGGCTATGTACATCTGTAATTTGTGCATGCCACACATCTATATGTCATTTTTCCCTTTCCAACCGATATCTACTTCCTGTGCGTGTTTGTAAATATTCCAACTACATACATTATAATATGTCTGTTAAATATTCTCTGCAGTTTACTATGCATAGAGACAGCTGATAGAAGTGGATTATTGTCGAAAGTCATCAAGATTTCGTCTGATATCAATTGGAATGCTGAACCACCAGAGATTTTGACACCGAAGTACGTTTGATGCACTTCATATATTTTTTAAACAGCAGTATGGTTTCCTTTATAGTATAACTCAGAGATGTTTACCCTACAGGGCTTCATCGTGAAGGATACCAAGTGTCAAGTAAGTTACAGAGGAGCTGAACTGAAAGTTTCCCCCCTTGTGGCTGGTAACTACAATATCTTCTTTTTTTCTTTTTTTCTTTTTTGATAATATCACAGATATCGTTATCTCACATAAATATGCGAATATCAAAAATTCAATTTTTTCCGCAATCAAGATAGAATCTTAGATATTTTACAAAGGATCTGGGGATTCAGCATATTTGACTTGGAATATGGTTTTTTTTAATTGTGTATTGTTCTAATTTTCTTTTTTCCTCTTTTTCCCTTTTCTAGGTGAGGTGGGGTTATTTATTTATATATATAAAAACCAGTAAACTAATTGTAGGGTGTTCCGGCCTGCCAGTCTATATAATTTTAAAGAAAAGAATGTATAGATACTCAAGTAA